GTATTGCTTGCGTTGCGTAAAAAAAATGAATGCGGCTATAGTTTTTAGCAGCACTGTAATACGGTCTTCGAGTACTTACTCAAATTCATGAGCAACCAGACGCTCATCAAACTGCAGATTGCTACGGGTGACCACTATTCTGGCTGTGAGCCAGACCTTGCCAAGTATTGCTGCTCGTGCGAGAATGACAACCCTGTAATTATCCGCGGATTGTGTCTGGAATGCGAGTCTTCGCTGCCCGGCTACATGCCTCGCATGGTCAAGGAGATGGCAAAGAACAAGTACGGGGTGAGGGAGAAAGACTTCGGCAATCTGCACGGTGAAATTGGTACTTACAATTCGATCATATGATGCTGGAGAATTACAGGATTACTACGTGTGGATCCAAGTTGCAATGGGTGCAACACCTCGTCTAGAAGGACCAGAGGAAGAAGAAACTTCGTGCTACGCTAAGGTGCAAGGTCAACGAAGCGGACGCCTTTGTTAAGCAGTTTGGCACCAGGTTTTGCCGACTATAGAAGAGCTATTCGTTTCATGAGGACGGACAAGTTACAGTTGTCCCAACGCAGCCAGCGGTTCATTGTGCTGACTGCTGCGCTCAGAGATCGTGGACTTGAGCTTCGAACTGACTCTAGTCCCTGTCAAGACTTTATCACTAGAGGCTATGGGACTGTTTGGAATATTGTCGACACCATGGAGGAGATAGCTTTCAACCAAGAAGAAAACCGAGAACGTGCGATACGTAGCTAGCTAGCTGGAGAGTAGCGAGAATATCTTCAGAAAAGTATTCAAAAGAAGATAGCGGTCTCACACTTCCGAGCAAGGGGAAGATGCGAGTATTACGTGTATGTTGAAGGATAGCCAAAAACGAATGCTGGGTTATATACGTACTTCCATGGCTTTTGCCAGCGTGGGTGCATTTTTGTCGCAACATTGAATTGATGATAGGATGTCATGGAATTATCGTACAGAGCAATGGGTTTAAAGAGACGGGGTGTCACCACCCTGTTTTGTTTTTGAACGGTTTCGTCTACTTATATTTGAGACAGCACTCACCGTCTTGCATTTTGTCATTTGACTCCTCATGAGCACCAGCGAGCACGTGATGTCGACGAAGCCTGCGCTCTCGCGAGCGATCTCCGACCGCTTCAGAGACTTCGGTACGTTATACTCACTGCCATAACGCAGGTGACGAAGATCTAACGGTATTTGTTTATCTGCAGGTGCCATTCAAGAGGCGCTTAGGTAAACAAACGTCACTCTCATGGGTATGGCGCGAATGGTCGCTAAACGATGCGGTTGCTGCAGGAGTATGAACCTCGAGTCGTCGAATTTGATGTTTGCGGTGCGTACAATTGCACAGCACTCCGATGCTCGGAAATCTGACCTCTATGTCATGCTGTTGCGTCTTGAACCTCGGTAGATTGACTACACGACTGCGAATCTGGTGCGAGAGTTGTGGTACAGCGCCCAATCAGCGTCAAGCTTGTGATTCTAAATGGTTGTGTTGTTGTTAGACCTGCGCTGAACATAGTTTCGATGGCAAATGTTTGCATTCGATAGACCCCAGCGGAGGAATTCTGAATCCGTACCAGGTGCAGCAGAATTATAAGCTTACAGATCTGCAATACTCGCGGTGAACTAAAAGGGATCACGCTGTTGTAATTTAGGAGGCACTGACGCGACTAGGTCGTGTACTGGTGGAGTTTGACGACGACCGCAGTATCCAGGTGTCGGGCTTTGGAGACGCTAAGACACCGGAAAATGCAGTCTTCAGCTTCACACCTGAGAACCCGATGGACGGATGCAAGAGCTTCAACGAAATCTGGCAGCGTTATCATGATCTTACGCCGACGATAGAATTGGGAGAAAAATCTGCGAACCTTGGGCCGGTGATTCGACACGCGACTGCTGTAGCGCGCGAGGTTACCGGTTTCCACATGCTGATCATCCTCTTGAGCAGCCATTTGGCAAACGAGCACCTGGTTGAGGCCGCTCAGGCAATCGTGGATGCATCGAAGTTTCCGCTGTGTAGGTGGACGAATTTGATGGTATTGATGATGCCTCGTATGCTGAACTTGTTGCTCTTGGTTACCAGCGATTATCGTGATCGGGATGGGAGACGGTCCCTGGGTACGTTTTGCGTATTAAGCTCGAAATCGTCTCAAGACTTGACTAAATTGTTGGACATTTGATTGCAGGACAATATGAAGGTGCTGGATGATCAGCTTCCGCAGCGGCAGTTTGACAACTTTAACTTCGTCAACTTCCACAAGGTGCGGCACACAGCGACGGAGGAGCGGAGGGTGTTCGTGCAGCGGATCCAGGACGACAATGCCGAGCCCGCTGCTGCGCCATGCGAGCTGGACCCGCTTGATCTCCTCTTCACTTTGCAGATTTTAATGGAGGTGCCTGTGCAGTACGAATGCATGTGCAGGTTGAACCTCCTCTAGTTAAACGGAGTTTTTAGGAGAAAAGTACCGCTGTAGCCAAAATAGTGACTTCTACAGCGACTATGAGATAAATGACGAGGTGAAAATTGCTGTTGCTCTTCAAGTCAATAGCACGGCAGGCAGGCCTGCTGTTCGGACCGGAAGGCAAGCTTTACCCTTGCACAGCGAACGTCGCAACGTCAGATGGAGATTTGACTCCAGGTGCGTGGAAAAATTGGCTGGCAATGGGAGGTGACGGCAAGAGCAATGCCAAGATGGTGTACCGGAGTTTGGTGATCAAAATGCTTCAAGAACACGTTGAAGCAAGTACAGAGATGAGCAATAACATCGAGTATATGAAAAGTATTAGATATCAGAAGTACTGCAGTTCGTTGTGCTTTCTTCTGATTTACAACTCGTAATTAATTACTGGTTTTAGCAGGGTATTACGTTTAGTCGATTTCTGAGCCGAAACCGCTGATTTCACCGCGCGAATAGGTGATTCTTCTTTGTCTGGTCCAAGTGTCCCAAGTTCCAAAGCAGGCTGACCCCGCCGTGGTGCCTCGTCCTCACCCCCTGAATGGCCTGATGTAGTTGCCACGCCCTCAGCTGTCTGCAGCAGACTCTGCTGATGTCTCGACACAATTGCATCAATCGCCACTCGAAACCGTGAAAACCCCAGAACGCGAGAGAGGGCGGAAAAGACCGTGAGAAAAACTCGATCGTCAGGAAGGGGTTGGCAATATACTTGGCTGGTTCGTTCGCGCCGTAAGCTTCACAAAGAGCTGAACCGATATTTTCATCTGATTTCGGTCAATTCGAGACACTTCGCTCTCCACCTGTTTAAAGACTCTCCTTCTGTCCCATCTTTCGTCTCCCCGCCCTCCCGCCCGCCCATACCCCATCCCAAATCGGCCGCGCACAGGGCGGAGACACACTTGACTCAAAGAACGGAGCGAATCGACGGGTGGGGGTGGCATTTCCGACACGCTCGAGAGGCCATGACCTCCACGCCGGCATGCAACGGCGGGCACGGATCGACCGGCACGACGCGGTCGGCTGGAGCTTTACACGACACGACGCAACGGCCGGCACAGAGGCGGTGGAACTTGTTGCGCACCCACGTTCGCGTCACCCGACGGTTAGTATTGCTCTGAATATCCCGCTGAACGCCCCGTTCTGAATTGTATTCGTCGCTCATTTCTCGAATGTTTCGACATGTTCGGCAGGTTATCGCAGGAACTCGCTCACAAGCACGCGCGGCGGTTCTCATCGGCTCAGCAGTCGCTTGTCGATGCCTGTGTCGGGTGTATCTCCGCTCCAGCGTCGAAAGACTGCCCGTTAGACACGCTCTTGGCCGTCCGAGACCATTTTCTATCGCTTCTGGACGCTGAGCACTGCGTCCTGAGCTTCGAGCTCGCACCGTCAGGGTCCGTTATCGAATTCGACGGGCGAGGCATCCGACAGGTAGTGGAACGCAGCTCCGGCACGACTGCAAGACGACAGGCACGAGGCGCTTCACACCAGCCGACCTTCTTCTCTACAGCTAAAGCCTGTGCACGTGTAGAGCGGCCGGAAGGGTGTAGCCATCTCCAGTCTTATCTCTGTATGCCTCTCGTTGACTGTAGCGAACGTGTTCGAGCTGTTGTGGAGGTATTTAACACACGTCATGAAGCTCAGGACATCAGTACGTGGCTAGGAGACTGCGAATCGGATTGTTCTCTAGCGTTCAGGTCGGTCAAGTCGACAAGTGAACCGCTACGTGTTTTCTGCGGCTTTGTGGGTGGGTTATTACGTGCTGCAGCGCCAATTGAAGCGTTCGAGAGCTATGTGGACACTGGCGATACTGTAGACTCCTTACCAAGCATGTATCGTCACACAGGGGACACAGTCAGTGTCTCTGAAGAAGCCCCATTGCAATTATTGGACTTCTTACAGCGAGCTCTTGGCGTTGATGGGTGGACTGTATACGCTCTCGATCGGGAGGCTAATACCTTGTGGGCTCGACTAGCGAGTGCCGGATTCAGGTCTAAAGTGTCGACGGTACTGATGGGTCAAGGAGTGATCGGACGGGCGGCTTCTACGGCTGAGCCGCTGTTTGATGGAGACGTACTGTGCGTCCCTATGTTCGATCACAGCAGAGATCACAAAGTCAATAGCGTTGTGGTGTTTTACGGTACTACACGACCAAAGCAAGGAGCTTTCCGTCAGTGTGACGTGGAGTTATGCAATGTTGTTTGTCGGCATGTGGGGAGTTCTCTGCAACGTTTAGCACTGGAAGATTCGGCTAATAAGGCGCAGGAGAAGGCACAGGCGTTGCTAGAGCTGTCAGATCTGTTGTTTCGAGAACTGGAGAGATCTCCCAGGCCTACTGCGATGCTGCTAACAGCTGCAAGAGTGATCGTACAGAAGTCTTGGTTCAGGATTGCTGAGTGTAACGTGTATCTGAGAGACCCGCTGACGCATGAATTGTACTCGCCAGGCAACGCGACGCAGGGAGAGTACCGTGTTCCGTTGTCTTCCGGTAGTGCGCGTGCCATGCCGGCTGTACGTACTGGAAACGTCGTAAATCTACGCGATACTGATGCCGGTTCGCATCACACCAAGCCTGTTCTGGCCGTTCCAGTAAAGGACCCGACGTCGGGCTCTGTGCTGGCTGTGCTGGAGTTACTGGACAAACGATCGAGTGAAGGAGACGTGGAACACGCTGTGAGTCTGGATAAACTGTACTTCGACCAGCATGATGAGGATCTAGCACGAGGAATTGCACGTCAAGTTGCGTCTGCACTACGGAATACTCAACGTCTGGACGCAGCACGAACAGCGCAGAGGAAGAGCGCGGCGCTGCTGTCGTTGCGTCTACCTGCTGCTACTGGGACAATGCCGGGCGAACAGGTTGGTGCTGTGTTTTCCTTCGTGGAAGCTGCGGCGTGTAGAGCGCTGCGTGCGTCGCATGGCGCACTGTTCTTAGTAGATGCACCGAGTCGCTCTTTGTTCGCACGCGTGGGAGCGGATTGGAGAGGATACTCGCTACCTATCGGTCAGAAGCTGCAAGGCCGCGTGGCTGCCACTGGAGCGGCCGTGCGTCTGGTCCGTGAGGCACGAATCCATCCCGAGTTTGACAGCGACTACGATCGCTTGATGAACATGCAGACGTCGAGTCTGTTGTGCGTTCCTATCAAGGCTCAGCCGTCCTTGTCTGCGTCTTCTACGTTCGCGTCTTCAGGAGCTTCGACGAGATCTGGACGACGCTGTAGCAGCAGCTTCAGTACGAGCAGTAGCACGGACGACGACGGCGACGATCGACCGGTTATTGGCGTGTTCTACGCTATCAACAAGATGAACGCCAATGGAGAGACGGAGGGGTTTGACGCTGAAGACGAACAGGTTTTACGTGCCATCTGCGTGGAGCTGTCGGCTCTAGTGGAACGTCGTGCGTGGGAGCTGGTGTTCGAGTCTCCGTCCTATGAAGACAGTGAGAGCAGCGACAGTGAAGGAGAGAGTCACGTGACGAGAACGTTCCTGTCTCAGTACACCACGGCGTCCCCCATGCGTCGTCGGCGTCGTCCTCGCTCTCGTCTTCCGTCTGTAGTGGATCACGATCACGCTGCGGCTGTTGTGGCTGCGACGTCCTACCATGAAGGCTGCTTCTTGAGCAATAGCGGGCTCTCTTCGCTGTCTAGTAGCATCGGTCTTGTACCTGGACAACACGCTCAGAGTTCAGTGTTGCAGTGGAATCTGGATCCCTGGCAGTTCTCCCCGGCACAGCTGATTGATCTCGCAGTCGACATGTTCGAGTTGCACGAACTTATGGATGGATTTGCGTTACCTGAAGCCACGTTACGCCGCTTCTTGCACAGTGTACAGGCTCAGTATCTCGACGTGCCGTACCACAACACGTACCACGCGTTTGCCACGCTACACATGACGTTCCTCATGTTATCAGCGCAGAGTAAGAAGCTGGCTCCGTCGTTGATCCCTGCGTCGACTGCTCTTGGCATGGGTCCGACTACAAAAGCCCAAGCTATTGAACGGACAAGACAGAAACGATGTGGCGAGTTGATTCTCGCTCCAAGAGAGCGACTCGCAGTCTTCGTGGCCGCCTTCTGCCATGATATGGGCCACGACGCCCGTACCAACGACTTCCACGTGAGATGCAGCTCACGTCTGGCTCGGCGGTATAATGACCACTCGGTACTGGAGAACATGCACGCTGCTGCGTGTTTCGAGACTATGAGACGCCCTGGACACGATGTACTGGCTGGACTTGAGGACGGCTCCAGTGACACGGCGGGAAGTCGTCGCGCTGTTCGGAAGCGCATTATCCGGTCGATTCTTGCCACAGATATGCACAGACACGCTAGTATTGTGGCCAAGCTGCATGAAGCGCAAGCTCGAGGCAGTAGAAATGACGATGAAGCGCTGCGTGAACTGCTGGTGGATGCGGTGGTTCATTCAGCGGATATCTCGGGCCCAACGCAGACAGAAGAACAGCATTTCCGGTGGACTACACGACTGCTTGAGGAGTTCAATGAACAGCATGCAGAGGAGGTGGAACTGGGGATTTCAACTACTGCGTTCATGGATACTCGACCGGACTCGGCTGAGTTTGCACGTGTCAACTTGGCGTTCGTCGACTCGTGTGCGTTCCCATTGTGGAAAGCGATGGGTGGGATTTTGGCAGGATTGGAAGGATGTTTGGCGAATGTGGAGAGGAATCGAACGATGTGGGCGACGCGACTTGAGGAGGCCACAAAACGTGAAGCCGAGAACAAGATAGCAAAACCTGTGGCTAAAACAGAGAGTCCAGAGAGACTGCACATTACTAAGAAGTTAGTTGGAGAGTCCGTGACTCCCACGAAAGCCAAGAAAGTTGCCAACCCGTTGCCGCCTCCAAATCTGCGTCGACAACAGAGTGAAGACAAGAAAAACGAGAAGATGTACTCGGTTTATGCTACTCCGACCAAATCGAACCACAAGAAGGCGAACATCCCGTCGACTTCCTCGCAGCCTGTCAATATTCCACAGCAGAAAGCGAAGAGAAAACTTGAGCTACGTTAGGGCGAGAGAGC